TACAACAGATGAGTCGAATGGAGCCGGCTACACCAGCTCTACATCACCCAGTTCTACATCACCCAGCTTTACATCACCCAGTTCTACATCACCCAGCTTTACATCACCCAGTTCTACAGTCCTTCACTGAGAGAATAGACTTTAAAAAACTGATGTTCGTTTATAAATCACTGAACTGCCTCGCAGCAAAATACATTAAATATCTGCTGTTGTCGTATCAACCTTCCAGAACCTCTCAGGCGTTTTGGTTCTGGTTCTGCTCTGCATCCAGAGCAAGAATCAAACATGGATTCAGTTCTTATGCTCCACCAATCTGGAACAAACTTCCAGAAAACTGCAAAACAGCCAAAACACTGAGTGCCTTTAAAAACTCACCTGTTTAAATTTGTCTTTGATTAATAATAAAACTGAACATAGATTTGGTTGAAAAAGTGAAAAAGACTTTCATGCATATTCTCAATTTAACTGTTGTTTACGCTTCACAGCAGAATCACAAATAGATCGTTGGCTCAGAAAAAACAGACGTGTTTTTGTTTTATCAAGAAATGACGTTTATCAGCAGCCATCCTGCTGCGTGTGAACAGCAGTAGGATGGCTGCTGTTCACACACAGCAGCCATCCTACATGGCAGCTTTGGATGGCCCACGCAGCCTCCTACACCATTTCTGGCAAACAGAACCAGCATTTCCATGACATATTTCCATGCTGGTTCTGTTTACATGTAATCATATATCTTATCTGTGGAACTGCTCTCAGGAGACCCACCGTTCTCTTCCTGATATGTTTACTGATTTGACTGGATTGTTTTTGTTCATGATATAGCACTAGAAAGAAATCTGTTCTGCCAGCATGCCCAGGCTTGCTGGCAGGGGGGCGTCGCCTTGAAATTCATCATTAATTTAATCTTCTACCTCCATTTAGCTGAAAAGCCAACAGAAGCTTTTAAAAGCCTGACATAATCATCTTTAACAACTTTTGCAAAGTGTAGCGATCTTTTTATATGTATAAACTGACTGTGAAGAAAAAAGTTTGTAGAAAAAAACAAAGTAAAATATCTCACCAATTATTGCGACAGTAAATCAAAATTATTTTTGATCATCATAAATGACCTAAAATAGGAAATGTTTAGTCTTATTTAATATTAGTAAGAAAAACAAAGTTACCTTTTTATACATTATATATAAATATTTATTCCTGTTGATGAAGCAGTCACATTTAAGAACTTTTTCCTGGATAGTTTCTATGTGAGGGTCAGAAAATAAAGCTCCAATATGACTTTTTTTTTTTTTTTTTCCAAAAGTTGACTTCTGGTTGAACTTACACAAAAGTTTGGACTTAAAAAAATCTTCCCAAATAAAGACTATAGCAGAAAGATAGCAAATATTAGAATAAGTGATTCTATTAGAGATCCAGAAGTTGATTTCTGTTGCTCTTGTTCCCATTTTCATTTCAAATCTCTCAGCCATGATAGTCAAACGAACAAGCTGCAGCTTTTATGGACCAGATGTCTGGAAAAGAATGAGGTGGGGGGGTCTGTTTGTTTTCATATCGTTTTTGGGACTAAAATGTTCCCTGAGACTCTAACAGCATTTTGGTCCAGGGTCTTTTTTGAAATTCATAATACATATAATCTCATGATATTTTACAGAAAAACAAGTCAATCCAAAATCACACACAGGTTCAAAGTCATGTGCCTACACTCCATTAACAAGGTTTTTTGCAAGAGTTTCTTACAGTCACAACTCTTGCAAAAAGTTGTGGTGTTCAACTTTTTGAAGTTGCGCTTGTCCTCGAATTTTTGCTACCTGTAATAGTTGAAGAAAAAATATGCTATTAACAGAAATTATTCCAAAATGTCTCAACATAAGATTGCATGAAGCCAAGGGAGGGGATGTGGAGGTAACAGAGGCTTTTTCCTGAAAGAGACAAAAAAGAAAGTAAGACCTTCAACTGATGTGTTACTTATAAAATGGCTAATCTAAGAGTAAAAAAAAGTAATCTAAAGTGGAAAAATCACAGTTCAAGTTTAGAAATGAAGATTTAATGTAACCTTTTGACTGTTCCAAATAATGAGCAAAGATACTGATAACTGAAATAGAAAACTTGAAAAATTATACCTCAATCACAAGTCTGGCACTTCACCTTCACAGGGCAGAGAAACCTCTACTGCAAGAAAATAAGATGGTTCTCCAAAATAACAGAAATGAAACCAGTTTTTCATTCCTTAGATAAATCGTTCCATGTTTCTTCAAATTTAGCTTTTCTTTCTGGTTTCTTTCTAAGCTGTTAATATTAAATCTCATTTTCTCTGATTTCTCTGGTGCAATTAACAATGATTCACTATGTCAGACAGGAAGATGTTTAAACAGCCTGATTGATGTAAAATGTATGTAAATTAGTCAACACGCTATTTTTTTTCTGCATTTTTACCTGACATAACACGACCTTCGGGAATCTTTTTTACAATAAAAAGAGGAAGCGGCCGTTCTCTTTTTGTAACTCATTACATTTTTAAGAAAAATTGGTTTTCCTCATGATGTCCCAACATCTGACTGACTGAATTTGTACAGAAGTGAAAGGAGGTTTACTTTCTGAACACAGCGCCGCAGCAGCTTGGTATTCTTAGAGGACATGACATTTAAACAGTGCAGTTCTGCTACACTGCAGAAAATGTCCTTATCGCTACATAAATGATTCGGTTTTTACTTCTGTGGTAAAACGATGACAATGTGCTGCTTGGGTGTTTCGGCTGTGCAGAGGAACAAATTCTGATGTTTTTTCTCCAGGCGGTTAGCGACCCGCTAACCTTCCTCTGAGTTCCTTTAAATCAGGACTAACAGCCACCTGTTCACAGCTGCCTTTCATTTACAATAATTGGACCACTGATCAGTATGTTTGATATGTATTTTGTAACAGTTCTTCATGATTTAAAAAAATGCTTGTTTCCTAATGGGTCATGTATTGTGTTTTTATGTACAAATAAACTTGGTTTGACTTGCGATAATTAAGTTACAAGATAACATAGCCAGAGTTTCTGTAGTCAAACAGAATAACTTCCTCTTAGTATTATGTTAGGTCTCTGACCTCTGACCTCTGCTCCCTCCACCCAGCTGACAGATAGCCGCATCGTTAGCATCACAAAGTTTGTTTCTATTATAGCTGACTGAAAAAACAGAGATCATATTACTCATGTAATATCCTGAAGGCAGTTTTTACTGTTGCATTTGTTAACGTAGGAATCATTTGTGTGTGTGTGTGTGTCATTTGTTTTCTCTTTCATTCCCAACAACTTCTTTTGTTTTGGTTGATATTTACAGTAAAAAGCATCAGCATCAGTTTTATGACCTTTTGAACTTCAGTTCCTCCTGCTGATTTAAAACACATTTAAACCAGAAATGAGATAAATAATGTGGGTTTAGAAAATCATTCCTATTCTCCTTGGTCTTTTTATACAGGATTAAGAATATCACACAACCTTCACAGTTATTTTCATTATTTCTTAATGTGTAGGAACTTATTTTTGAGGCGACTGTAGCTCAAAGGGTTTTACAATGAAAACGTGTCTTTGATTCCAGCTTCTTCCTGACATGATGCTTAGTGTGTCTGTGAATATTCAGTTACATTCAATAAATTAGACAATTAATTAAAAAAAATATTTGTTTTCAGTACCTCAGTTGACTGAACGAAACACGTAGATGAATTTCACACAGACTTCTGTTGTCAAGCGTTCTGTTTTTATTTGTTCATGATTTTTCTACTTACAATTCATGAAAACAACATTTCATACTACAATATTACATCAGACCAATAACAAAAAATGTATCTCAAGTACAGTAATGTGGGCTTAAAGAAAACTGTTTAATACACTGTTTAAAATGTATTTTTAATCTGAGCCCCATCAAAGTCTAGATTCTAACTTATTGAACATGATTGTATGTGTCAGTGCGATCTGGTGAATATGGCTCTAGAGTAAAGTGCTTATCGTTGTCATGACGATGACAAAACATAGTCTCTACATTTGGTCCGTTTATCAACATACAGTAGAAAGGTCATGTTACGCATTAGAAACAGATAAATAACCCAAAATGAATCTTTCCCAGGATCTTATGTTTGACACTGAAACATAAAAAACCCCATTTTGAATTCAAATAACAAACAGGACAAGAGGACAAACTCCATCAAAGTTTTAAAGCTCCAATTGTTAAAATGTTCAACGTTTCATTTTCACATGGTTTTACACTTTATTTCGCTTTCTAAACTGATGCTTCCTGTGACGCCTCTGCACTAAACGGCCAGTTCAGCATCATGTTCGATGAACCAGTGCACACATTCTGACACTGAGAAAGTAGGCGAGGGGATGGCACCAAACCTGAAGAATCTGAGTTAGCTAGCTTGAAAAACCCCTCAGAATGCATAAAAATGCTTTACTTAAAAGAAGATATTTGCCTCTGAACACATTCCTTCAGTGGGTTTTCCAGTTCTTGGTATTATTTTTAATGACAAAATGTGATGAGAGAAAACATTCACTCAGAAAACCATCTGTAGATTTACCTGAGCTATTATTACACTCAACACATCTACAGTGGCTCCCAAAGTAATAAACACCCCAGTTACAATTCTACAAATGCAATCATCTTAGATCACAGTAAATCTGTTTCAAATGCTTTCCACCTTTAATGTGAGACACATTATGTGCTTATCAACTGAAATACAAATATAAAAAGTTTGCATTGACATAAGTTAACACAAACTGTTGAGCTTATATTTTCTAGAAATACTTTCTGACATTATTTCAGCATGAAGTTATTATATTCACACCTGACGTTACTTAAAGTTCAGCAATTCTGGCAGAATTTGTTGATGTGATGATGTCATCATTTTCACAGAGGTGAAAAAGATCAAAACAGTCCCATTGGATGAAGGTATTAGTCAGGAGAAGGTAAATTCCCCCCCACGGTATCATATAATTATATGTATATGGTAAATGATCATCAGTTACTGGACAACAATCCAACAATCTGGATGAAACCTCCTGGATATCTCTATGAAATAACTTTTCATTAATATCAAAGAGGCAATATTCTGTGTTTTCCAGGCACATAGTGATCAAGTAAGTATGTCAGCTTCAGCTGTTATAAAAAGGCTGTATAAGTTTGTCAAATATGACAACACCCTGAAATTGGGCCTCTGTCTCTTTAATAACTCCTGCTCTTTCTGAAACTCAGAAAGTCATCACAACATGGCTCCTCTATTAACTCTTTAACAACATTTTTGATTGCTCTGAAAATTAGCTCCTATAATGACCTCAGCAGATGAGCAGTGTTTGCTAATTGATGCTGGCTAGTCTGAAGGAGCTGAGTCGGGGAATTGCTCTGTGAGACCAAAGCTGCAGCTCTGAGGAGGAGCTTCGTCTTGAAGGCGGAGCTAGGTCCACCGAGTTGTTTTCCACAACTGAATGGTTGTCATGGAGATTAGATTATTTCTCAAACAAGCATGAAAGAATCAAGGCAACACTCCAGGTTTGTTTTTGATGAGAAAATAATCTCAAAACATGATGCAAATATCAAAAAATTGATTTTACATGATATTGCCCCTTTAAATTTTACTCAAACGCTTTTAGAAAGACATGAAATACCAGCTTTTACTTTCTTCGACTGTACATATATTTGATAATTTGCTTGTTTGGTTTTTTTTTGTTTGTTCTTATATTTAATCTTTTCGCTCATTTTTATTTTAGCTGAATTGACTTATTGCATATTTTTGTGTTTTTTTTGCTTCGTAAATTGATTTTACTCTTCATGAACTTAACCAACATGTGACTCTAACCGTGTTGCTTTCCAGAGCAGGAAACATATCATTTTTAAAAATCAAATATTATAGTACAGACACATCTATAGTCTAGCTTTAGCTAAAAACAACATTAATCTTGTGTGCTTTAGTTCATTTCTAGGCAGTGTTGCTTTGCTGAATGCTCATTATTAAATGTCTGAACTCTGTAATGCAGAGGGAGGAACATATAAGTTTTGTTGTTTAAGTACCGGACCAGACTGATGCAGAATAACACAACCTGAGAAAAAGTGCAACGTGGCGTTTCCTGCGACCGGTCCGCATGCAGAGCTTGAACAGGACGTTTCGTCTGCATTTCCTTCTCAGCTGTGCGTTTGCAGAAAGCTGAGACAAGAGAAAAGCGGGTTGGACAGGCAGTCGGTGTTGGCTGTGACCTGCATGTCCCCAAATAAAACTTGGCCTCTGTCAGTGCTGGTGCTGCCCACTTCCTTTCTGAGCGCGGTGAGTTTCTGCAGAATGAGGCGGTGCTCGCGGCCCCTCTGGAGGCCCCTGAAGTAAAGAACTGCAACCAGATGTTTCTTGCTGCAGGTGGATGACAAAAACACACAAGTACATTAAACCACACATAAACACACACAGTATATGGTAAAAGTAAGTGCACTCCTCACATTGTGTTAATATAATCTCTTTTACAACAGTTTAAATTTTACTCTCATGTCTGAACAACCAGCAACAAATCTGAGTGAAAATGTCCAAATTGTGGCAAAAGTGTCAATATTCTGTCGAGCCTTTTGTTGCTAGCATTTTAGACATTAAAGGGGCAGCAGTGTGTTTTCCATCTAAATAATATCATCTTATAGAACAATCAAGTGACTGTTTTACCTTCAGTTTTTATAAAAATGCTGTACATATCAAATATGACTTAAAAGAAAGCCTTGAAATTGGGTTTCTCTTTAAGAAACTCCGCCTTCATGAAGTCATCGTAAGATCGCTCCTTTATTAACCCTTTAACGTTTTTATCAGCGATGCACTGAGTGGCTCCTATAACGAGCTCAGCAGATGAGCAGTGTTTGCTAATTGTTGCTGACTAGTCTGAAGGAGTTGAGTTGGTCCACCCAGACACTTTACACAGCTGAATGGTTGCCATGGAGATTAAAGGATTTCTCAAATCATACATGACAGAATCAAAGCAACACTCCAGTTATGTTTTTGATGAGGGAATAACATTATAAAATGATGTAAAGCTCAAAAAAAGTTGATTTTTAGTAGCAGTAGTTATTAGGTAATTCCCATATTACAAGTTACTTTATTCCTTATAAGTGAAGGAACAGAGTAGTGGTTACTTTCAGCCAGCTGACTGTCAGTGCCCAACAACTTGTCATGGAGGGGCCGTTATGTGTTGCTCTGTGTTTCATTCACCAGATGGAAGTTTTCCATCATAACATAATGATCTTTCTGAATTATCCTGGTAAAATAACTGTGCTTTTTAAGCATATTTTTTGAGGCTTGGCTGCATACAGTCTATGTGTTTGTCTTATCTCTAAGCATCACATTATTAATCTGTGCTGCCACGGCCACAAAGAGGAAGCTCCGTCTGTAATGTCTTTGGTGGATTTTTTATTTTATTTTTTCACTTATTTTGACAGCAAAACCACAGATTTCAAACACGGACATGGCGCAGTGATGCAATAACCTTTCAGAGTGTTTCACTTTGAGTAGGCCGTCCAGTTTATCATAAACTAACCTGGGTGGACAGAAAACCCCTCCATCAGCTGACTCAAAGCGGCTGCACGCAAACATTCCATCACTCCACATTGTTCTTATGCTTTTGTTTTGGTTTGTTTTATGATTAATTACAGTGTATCTCGTATCAGTTCTGTTTTTCTTCCTGTGGAAAGGAAGAAAATTGTATTTCTAGAAGACCTTCACTCTGCACGTCTTCCTGTCTGGAGGTTTTGTGTCAGGACCAAATAACATAATCCAGTATTTTCAAGGTAGTACAAATATTTAAATCTACAATCAGGTTTACCGACACACTGAACAGGTTCCACACTGTTATTATTTACTGAACAAATTCAAGCAAAAATGCTTCCAAGGGGATTTAAAAGGGAAAGTAGCAGCTATGTAATCATGTGACGACTGCTGTCAGAGCAGCAGCTCCGGCTGGGTTCTCTCATTGGGGCATTCCAGTGTTAGCTAGATGAGAGAAAGGGAAAACACCAGGGATGAACTTTAACACGATGCTAACCGTCTATCCAAGAAGAGTTCCAAGACTCTGAAGGTTGACATTCAACAAAGTTTAGATGATGAATTTGTCTTGGAAATTCTCTTTCCAAGACAGAATTTCCCTGAAAAACCACCTGGATGTCAATGTGGGAAAAAGAAATGGAAAAAACAAAAATAAAAGAACAAGGACCGACTCTTAAGTGGTATTGCATCCTCTGAAAACAATCTGTAATTTATATATTTTTTAAAAATGCTCTTTTTTTTTTTTACAGATTTGTTAAATAAATTGAGCAAGTAGCAACTACCTACACCAGTGAATCACATCAGCACAACTACTTCTCTACTCCATCATTTCTTCATCTTCATGCCTTTTTGAAAACAATGACAAACCTGCAATAATCTGATCTTGTGAACAATAAAACATCGTGATGACAGCATCACGTCGTCATACCTGAAGTCTGGGTAATGTTCCACTAGAGGCTGCAGGTGGTTCTTGATGTCTGCCTTGTTTTGTCCAATGATGGTGCTCAGGTCGAGTCCTACATGGTGGAGCCACTCATGCCTAGATTTCTACATGAGAAACAAACACAAGAACAGGTTCTGCTCAGGTTGTTATGTGGCTTTTTTTTACTGCTAGGCAGGTCCAAACGTAGGGTAGGGCCATACGGCTGAAAATTATGTCATAATATAAGCGTTTCGTATCAGTAAGCGTCGACAATTATTGATTAGATTTTGTTTTAGACATCTGGAATATTGCCAAACTGGCGGCATGACCTTTCCTGTTTCACTCTACGTTGTTGTTTTTTTCTTATTTTTAAGCAGTTATGAGGCTCAGTGGTGAAAACTGAAACTGCTGCTGCACAAGGTACTCAACAGGTTGTTGCCAGGTAACCAAAGAACGAGTGAGTTAATTGATGCCTCCCACTGTGTTTAGCTAGTCGTGAGAGGTTGAGCAGCTAAAGCCTTCCCTCTGCCTACATTTCCCAGAATGCTAGAACTGCACATTCCCAAAAGCCTGAACCAAAGTGGTCCGCGCCGTTTTCGTAGGCAAGTACAGCACAAAGCATAGATGAACCATGGCTTCGAGACCATGACCATGTCAGTAAGTATACTGACACTCTTGACCAGCATGCAACAGAAATATAGATTAACAAAATCGCTTTGTAAAAGACGTACAAACTCTTTGTGTGAATAACAAGGTTCTGGTGACTGGCAGAGTGAGTACATGTAGTAACATACAAGTAGGTATGTCCGCCTTAGCTTGCAGATAAAAGCTAAGTTAGCTAAGCTAATTTTGCTAGTTCGGCAGTAAATATCACTGATATTTATCTTAGTATTACACAGTGGTGGGTAGAGTACTCAGAAATTGTAATCAAGTGATAGATGTGATGTACTTATAGTGTTTATAAGTTGGGAACAGGGGGGAAGCTAGTTCTAAGCTTGTGACTTGTATATTGTTTTCATAGCAACTCCATAGCAACTGCCAGCAAGACGGTCGTCAGCTACAAAGTTTGCAGAAGTGTGACATCACATGAGAACTATGTATATTCTATATATTGAATATGGAATATTCTACCAGATGTATCTATTGGTATTGATCCAGCCCTGTCGAAACTTTCTACCAGTATTGTTCTGTACATATTAAACCTCCTTCTCATGGCTTGGTTCCAACAAGAACCAGCAGTTTTTTTACACTAAGGCATAATGTGGAGCTAAAACATGTTTTGTTGTCTATGAAGTTCAAATACTGTTTGACTTAAAAGGCCTGCAGCAAAGTACACAGTCCAGATTAGCCTGTGCTACTGTTTAACTATCAAGATTATTTAAGATTTCCGTTTTACCATGTCGTCAAACAGATCGGTGAGCTTGTTCCACTGTTCGTTGATCTTGGCTCCAGCCTTCTCGTGGTTCCGGTTCCTGCACGAGTAGTTATTCTTCATCAGCTGCCCGACGTATTCCTTCACAACATAGTAATGCAGTCGGCTGGCAAACTCCTGTCCAACAGAGAGAGTGATGGATTATCATAACAGGATGCAACCAGAAAAGAAAACGCAGGACGCTAAGTGTGTTTGCTTTGCATGATCCGAAAGCATTAGATTATGTGACCTTAGACCTAAGCTTCCACCAATTCATTGGTCTGCTGGCCGCCGCACCAGACCCAAACAACAACTCACTGGAATTTTTAAGACGGCCAATAAAAAAGGCAAGAGTTTCCTTTTCCGTCTTTCAGGGAAATTACAAGACTTAATTTATCCTGAGGGATTACGATCACATATATTATGCAAGCTTTCCAAGACAGAAATCCCCAAATAGAGCTAAAAGCTGATATTTCAAACCAGATCCACATTGAAACATGTCCAAGACAGACTGGACATGGTTGAAAGGCCACTTTTTCACAAGAAAAATAAAACGGAAAATTGCAGTTTGCAAATGCACTCAGGGACAAAGACCCTCATAGGGACATCAGAACATCCATCATTAGATTTAAGATATGGGACACAACCCTGCAAACACAAACCCAACTTTAAAGTATGAGGCCACGTATGATGTCAACAAAGCTACAAAAAAGATGAAGCTAAAGCGTGGGCGCCAGTTGTGTCCTGTTGTATCTCAAAGTCTTCCAAAAGACAAATGACCAATGAGCACTAAGGACAACCAAAGTCAGAGTGTTGGAGTGTAAACTCCACCTCACAGAAACATTTCTAGGCAAAACTAAAAAGGTTTTGTGATTACAAAATGGACAACAAACGCATCTCTGTTCACTGCAAACATTTTGGTCTACTTTGTAGTGCAAACATCTTTCTACATTTGAAATAAGACAAAGCTAACTTACAAGTAACTTTGAGGAGCTTGTTTTAAGTAAGTAATTGCTTGATATTGTTTAAAAAAAAAAGTGCTAGTCCCACTGGCAGATTATTTCACGTTTTTCCAATGTTATAAGTGAAATAATCTGCCAGTGGAACTAGTACATTTTCATCAATATTGAGGAATTATTGACTTAAACCAGTTCTGCCTGGAGGATTGGGCCAAAACTCCAGCAAACTATGGCGAGAAGCTCCAAAGGCTTGAAATGTGTGTAAACTACTGGATCCAAAATAGTAAAAATATTCTCTCTCTTTTTAGCCTGGCTCTTTGCAATTTAATGTCAGACAGTGAGAGAAATGGTCATGTCAGTATTTGTAAAAGTCAGACTTTAGTTCTATTTTAAACACATAAAGTCAATTAAGCTACTGTAAACAAAAATGCTGAATAGTATTATTTAGTTATTATTTTTCTGACCAGTGGTATCAGAGCAGAATTACAACTTATTTTGGTCCAGCTTTCAGTGCTCTGTTCACAGGATTGAATCAGATCCATAAAATCTGATATTTTTTGCGGCCTAGTCAAATCCTCGTCACCTTTACGTGCGGAGGCCTCATGGAGTCACAATGATGGGAAAGCTGCTGTATCCGGCCATCGAGTTGTTTGAAGTCGTCATCGTTAGTGAGCCACTTCCTCGTCATCATCCGCCTGAGGAAGGGCTGGAAAGAAATCACAAAAGAGAAGAAAATGTCTTTATTGGATTCTGTATTAAATTTATTTATTTTTTAATGTTTCCAGAACAAAAGGCTGATACGGCAAGACAAGACCGGAGAATTTGCTTAATATTCAAAAGGATTTGCCTTCAGTAAAGATTATTGTAATATGGCCATCTTTTTTTTTTTTTACATCTGCATAAACAATGCAGATGTAAAAAAAAAAAGAATGTTTTACATATTCCTCTTCTGGACACATTTTCTTATTACTCAACTTGTGCGTTTCTCCTAAGTGCCTCATTTCTATACATCTAAGCAGCGACTCTGACAAGGTGGTAAAGATCTTGTTTTCAGTTTCTCATGTTAAAAAAACCACAACAGCAGCAGCAGCTGTGTTTTAAGAGGAAGTGAAAGGATGAAAACAAGAAGTGGCAGTTTGCCTCATAAAGCTTCTATAGTATTTGAAAACACCAGATTGCATTACCTTGACATCCTCTTTAAATTGTTCCTCCAAAACCTCCATCAGCCTGACGATGAGACCTTTGACCTCCTGTTTGAAGCCTTCCACCTCGTGTGGACAGCTGTCCTGGTACGCTGCCATGTGTTCCCTGTCGACAGACGACAATAAGAAATGAAAGAAAATGTCAGTTTTGAAGCCGCACTCCTACTCCGTGAAAGCTTTCACGTTTTTGTCACGTTACGGCCACAAACCTCGACGGCTTTCACCAGAATTTGATGCGATAGAGAAACAAAAAGCTGTGCAGAACAGAACAGGGTTCTCAAACACATTAGGATTCAATATTTGATAGATTACATTTTATTCTAATTACAGCTGCAGGGTTCCAGAGGTATGTCTCTATCTGCTGTTCTCTCCACTTTCTAACAACAGATGCAACAGTGGGCCGTTAAAGCTTAGGATATTGTTTTGGATCCTAAACTTGGTTAAAGTGTCTCCAAAGCGAATTGAGTCCTCATACTTTGGACTTATTTGTACTTTCGGTGCCTAAAGTCTGAACTGAACTTGGAAAGAAACCTTTTCAGTTTTCTGCTTCATCTTCTTGGAACCGTTTGCAGAAATACATGAAAATAAATTTTGTCTCTAAATGCTTTTACGGTTCTTCTTACTGATTTTTAGAAGGAATCATCTGTCTCACTGTTTTAGCTGAAGAATATTTTCATTTGATTGATTAGTGACGGTGTTTATTTTTCCTGTAATCTCTGTGTGCCGCTGCCAGTCTTCGCCAGGAAATTTTTGCAAGAGATTTTCCTGGTAAAGTAAAGGTTGAGAAAAGGTCGGCTGTGTTCCTCGGTCTTCATCATGTTCTCCTGTTTTACTCAAACATCTCAGGCTCACACTGAGATTCAGTTACGCTCCTGAGGACGATAATTACAAACTTCGTAAGGCAAATTTATGTTACAGCTGTAGGACGTAACTTTAATAAAAAAAATTTTTCTTTACATACCTGTTTTTTACCATGTTGTGTGGTATGAGATCGTCTATGGAAAAAAAGGAAAAGAACGAGGCCCTCTGCCTTCTCCCAGCCCTAACTGGAGAAGGCCAGGAGACGAGTCTTAGCACCATTGATCACAATCTTGTGCGGCTATGCGCAGCTTTAAAGCATTTCTTTGATGAACGAACATGTTTACCCATTCGTGTGTGAGTTGTAATGATGGGATTATAACCCATTGTGATGGACCGAGTTAAAAACAGGAGGAGTCACAGGATATTAATTAGAAAAATAGGGTTTTTTATTTTAACCCAAAAATTGTAAATGACAAAAAGATAAACTGAGCTCATAAAAGATGTCAAAGAAACGAAACTGAACTCAGGCAAAAATGTAAACAAACTGGCTGCCCAAACAAACATAACTGACCTAACAAAGAAATGACACACAGGGGTTTATATACTGGCTGATCAGACCAATTAAGACACAATAGGGGTAACTAAACAGAATACAATTACAAATAACACAAACAACTAACAGTACAGCTAAGTTTGGCTAAACTAAAGACCCAAAATATGAAAATCAAAAACATTAAAGTTTAAATACTAATATTTACTTAAATACAAAACTTATCCAAATAAAGAAAATACAAATTTCCCCTGCCAGCAGGAACTAGTGGTGCAGTCCAATTAACACCTATGCCTGCTGAGCCCTGGACCCCATCTCCTGTCTGGCCACTCCAAGGCAGGTAAGCACCGGCAAAAGAAAACAAAGTTAATCTTAAGCAAGCAAATAATACTTTAAAGTTGATATAAATACACATGTTAACTAAATGTGCGCGGTAACATAAAGAACAAATGTATCCAAATCAACTAATAAATGTTTTACTGAAACTAAAGTGTTGTATTTGAATGAAAAAAATAAATTATGAAAACTAAATTGTGCATAAGAGTTACCGACTTCTGCCTTCTGAGTGTGGCCATGGATTTGGCCATCACACCCATCATTATGGGATTACTCATTATTTCTTCAGCAGCAGCATCAGAACCAGGGATTTAAAAACGCTGAACAACCTGAAAAAAGATGACTTGTTCTGTTCAGGGGACGATGTTATGGTGCACCAAAGGATCCTTCATAAAATCCAAAAATATTACAGACAACCCTGAGTGTCCTTTTCCCAAGACCATCAGACAACAACGCAGCGTCTTCAGTCAAAGGCTTTTTCCAAGACCGCTGTGATACAAACTGCTGCAGGAGATCAGAGCCTTTATCAGCTACAACAACGCTTTGAAGAAATATTGTACGAGTTACAACTTGTCATTTCTCTTTGGGATTAATAAAGTACATTTGAACTGAATTGAAGGTGAGGTCATTTTAGTTATATAGCCCATTTTCAGCAACAAGGCAAATCAAAGTGCTTTACATGAATTAGTAAAAGCACTTTTTACAACAAAACAACAAACCAAAGGAAAGGGCAAAGAAGAAAAAAAAAGAAAACAAAAAGCACAACCCCATGTTAAGAATAAGGAGTCAGTAATTTACCCACTAGTAGGAGTTTCTCTGGATTCCTGTTCTGATAATGTTGATCTGAGATGAGTAGTTTCTCTAGATAAGTTAAAAGAAGTTTTTCTTCTAATTCCTGAATGTATAAACTAGATCAGTGTTTCTCAACCCTGATCCTCACCGCCCCCCTGTCCTGCATGTTTTAGGTATTTCCCTTCTGCCACACACCTGAATTGTATCTCTGGGTGATTAACAGGCTTCTGGTGGTCATGCAATCATTTGAATCAGCTGTTCTGGAATAAAGGCACATCTAAAACATGCAGAGCAGGGGGGCAGTGAGGACCAGGATTGAGAAACACTGAACTAGATGCTCCTGGTATAAGTATGAGTACTCCATAATTTATAAATTAGAAGGAGGTTCTCTGGATAATCCTGAGTTGAATCATCTCTGTTTAATCAGACTGGCTGAAACAAATCAGGCAGACTTTTTTCTTTTCACATCAGAGCAGCGTACAGACGGCACACAGAAAGCAGACATAAAGCGTGCAGATAAATAATCCCTGCTGAGTGAAACGGTAAACCACAGAGGCTCAGGATGAGGCCGCCTGGGGTAATCGTCATGGTTTGGGGCCAAAAGGGGTTGGTTAAAAAGCCTGCACCAACTACTTCCTATTTTGTCTCACTTACAGCAGAGCCGTTTCACATTCACTGCTCCGTTTCCATGAAATCACGTGACCTCTCATGCTTTATAAGGCTCTGATTAGCTCTGCAGTCTCTCGTGAGTATTCCCTTCACCTCTTTGACGAAGCAATGTTTTCACAATTTCACTGTCACAATAAAGCTTTTAAATGTTCGTCCTTCTCCCACTCCAACCTGATTCTCACTCTGCTGCAGACAGGTTGACAGCCGAGAAACTCCCAGCAGACGGAAATCTCTGGGATGACACATCCAAACTCTTCCATCAGAAGAGATTGGAACGCAGCAAACTCTTCTGATGGTAGAGCTGAGGTTTGTTCTCTGCATGTCAAAGTCAACACACAGAAACAATTCATAATATAGTTCATAGAATAAATGTAGGAATGAGATTCTGTTTTGAACAGGAACGTTTTTGCTGAAACCATTTGAGAAAATGTACTTCTGTTGTTTTAGACTACTTTCAAAATAAAAGCCCGATAAAAGACAAGAAGGGCCAACCATAAAAGGAAGGACTTGGATGGGACAATAAATTATAACGTATATAATAACACTTTTTTTGTGGAACTTGTAAGAAGAGCGCCACCAGATCAAATAAAGTCTCGCCAGAGATCAGAACCGTCTCTGTCTCCACATGAAGAGTGTTTCATACAGAATCAGATAGAGTGTTGGACTGGGTTACATAATGTGTAGATCTGGGTGATGCAAACCTGATAATGGTTTGAAAGTTCAAAAATGCAGATGTGAAACCCATATGATTTTTTTAAGAATTTTTTTTCTTTTTAACAAAGTAGAATTCCCCTTGGTTTCTCTGACTGAGACCAAACTAATCACCACATACAGATGCCAAAACATGAATGTACTGCAGATATCATGAGCTTCCGTATCAGTTCTTATGATAAAAAAAAAAAAATCTGTAACTATCCCTTTAAATTTGTGTCAGCACGCAGTTGCGAAACCTTTGGAAAGACTTTCCAACATTACCTCAGAGGCTAGCTGCATGATCTGCAGAGGAAAATCTGAATGTAAAAATAAAGGAGAGTCCTCAAACATCTGACAGCTGAATATGAGGATCTAATCTAACAGTCACATGAATAATTTCACTAAAGTAACCCAACTTTTCTCCTCAGCTGCAAAATAAAATTTTGTGAATAAGAATAACATTTGTTTTTTGAGCAAAACAAATTTGATGTTTGATTCTTTTGGTTCAACTTATTACCAAATTTTCTGTGGAGGGATTTATTCACCTGACTCAGAAACTAAGCCTGATGGTAGCAGATGTGTTATCAAGCGGCCCATATATAATCATATATGGATGATTTTGTATGATTTACAAAATCATCAACTTTAAATAAGGTCCAATTCAGCCACAGTATTTCCCTCAGTGTCATAAGCCTGACGGGCCTCCAGGCTTTACTTGTGTCCCCACCAGGCTAAGCATTGTTTGTTTGTTTATTATAGGTTTTGTTTTTCACCAGTACCACTGAGAGCAAAGACGAGTTAAAGAGTTTCTTTAAAATATATATTAAAAAAACCTTCCTTTCTTTGGTGAACGATATATGATGATTTTGTAAAAAAAAAAAAAACATAATTAATGCAACACAGAAGTCTTTGTGTTTAAATGGTGTATGATGTTTTTCTGCCAGAAAAGAGAGCCTGACCAGAGGAGCTGCATCAAATACCAGAGTGAAAACATCACACATCTCCTGGATTTCTCATTCCACAAGAGGCAGCTTGTGAATCCTGCCTTCTATAATACTCATATTGTAGTTCCTGCATTCTCAGAGTTCTGAAAGTGCTATTTTATAATCTAAAGCTCAGAATGTAGTCTTTTATCTAATGCTCCTACTAAAAAGTCATAAGCAAAGCCTTTATTGACTGAAACTGACTGTAGAGCCATGCAGCTGCGAGCAGACAGAACTGCTTCCATGAATCCCTTGAATAAAGACAATGCTAAACTCTTTTGTATGATGTCACTTCGGCATGTACAGACTACTTTTTACTTTCTGTTTTAAAGTTTGTCATCTGCAGTCGAGCCCCAGCAGCCGTTTTGATTTTTTGTGGGCAGAGGTGGGGGCAGCATGTTTGTGGGTTTGGCATCTTGTTCTCCTGCAGTGCATTGTGGGTATCTATGTGAAATCACGTGACTTACTGTAAAGCCTGAAAGCTGTTGATGTAGGTTATGTGATAGTCGGTCCACAGCGGCTGTGGTTGGAGGGCGCCACAGTGGCACTTGAACTGGGTTTCAAATCTGGAGAGGAGAGAAGACGTCTTAGAGGAAAAGAGAGGCAGAGCTGCCAGACTGCAGGGGTTTTTTCTTGAACTACTTCATTTTATGTGAAGTTAGAAACTCGGATTTCTATGATTTTATGTCATAGAATAGAACAGGGTGTCCAAAATGTTGCCCGAGGGCCTTTTACGGCCCTTGGACTGACTTTCATTGATCCCCAAATGCAATTCAAGAATTTAACATGTTTAGTCCTCCAGCAAAGATGGTTAACAGAGACTGGTTATTTTTTAAATTAGGAAAAAAATGATAAGAAATAAAAAAGTTTAGTACAACATAAAATATGAATACTCTTAATAAGTAGCCTTTTTGCATTTTCTTTAATTTTGTAGTCAATCTGACCACATTTATCCTCCACTCTAAAGCAGACTTGAATGCATCCAAGTCTGTATTTACTGAATTTACACCAAACACAGCAGGTGCTTTCAGAGAAAGAGTGACCCAGATCTGGTTCTTGTGCCGAGACGACTAACTTTTGTGTGTGTGTGTGTGTGTGTGTGTGTGTGTGTATATATATATATATATATTTATTTTTTTATTTTTTATTTTATTTTTTTTTTTTCTTTCCCATGAGTCCCAAAGAATCTGTAAACTGGACGCCTTTCTTCGAATGAGACAAACATGCAAGACTCCTTTTCAAGTTTTTGAGGGTTCGCCTCAAATCGTTTGCCTTCAAAATAAAATTGAACTTTGTTTTATAAAAATATTGCATGCTTAGTTTATTATTGAGCAAGTGAAAAGAATGACAATACATTTGTAGTATTATCTATCTAAAACGTTCTGGGTACTTTGGACACCACTGGAGCAGACCGACACAGTAACAGATAACTGTGAAGGGAAGGATTTTTCTAGAGTTATTTACCAATCACAATCTGAAAAGTGTGGCGTACATTTGTATCCCGAGTCAATATTTCTTATATCTAAATACCTCATTTTACCTCATTTTGCTTAAATGCTGAAACCAAGCTAGTTTTAATTGGGCCTTAAAAACATCTACAGAGAAATGTGGAAGAGTCTCTACTGCAGTAAATGTGTCCACAGCACAGAAAGGTAACTTGAGCAAGAGGCACGTCAAGCTAAAGCTAATCTGAGGAAGAACACGTTGTCAAAGTTTTGCCCTTGACAGTTCCAGTTTGTGAACTTTAGAACTGACAGATTGCCCTGCTTTTAGATCTGTCAGCAGTAATCAGAATCATGTTGATATCTATTGACTGCAAAAATATTTTTTTAGTTTAAGAAGTGTACATTCTGACAGTGATCTCAACCTAAAACCAATGTTTAGTTTTCTTTAAAGCGTTCAGATTAACTACATATATATGCAAACAAGTCCTGTTTCCACCTCCATAATGTTTTTGAAATTAATCTCATATTTTATCATTGATTTGACTCAATGAATGCCTCTGTGTGAGTGTTGTGCGGGGATCTCCCTGACATTCCCACAAAGTCTCCAGAAGAAGTTGCCACAAATAAAGAAAAACCGAGGAGGGAAACACCCACACACGTCCATTCCTACCCTCATGACCTATTGCAAAATATAGATATAAATATATATGTATTAATAATCTGTGAGGTACTGTATTGTTGTTATAACTGACAAACCAACACAAAGTAACACATGATTGTAGAGTGGGAGGGCAATGACACACGTCTTCAGAATCCCCTCAAATAGAAATGGAGAAATTAGGATCTGACTTTGTTTTCGGAACAATGTTTTTTTTTTTTTTTTCGGGGGGGGGGGGGGGGGGGGGGGGCGCACCGCCACTGTTTCCAATTAAAA